AAGATGCTCTAAGACCATGGACAGCATGGCTCCACCCAGCAAAATCTTATAAATTCTGTTGACATTCTTTTGACAGCACAGCAAAATCTCGCAAATTTTATTTCAACAGCACAGCAAAATCTCACATTTACGGTAGTGATTCAAGGAGATTGTGAGGATTTACTCCACCCCATTAACTCCGGCGACAGCCATGGCAGACAAACCTCCGCTTTTCGTCCCCGTCCGAGGCTCCTCCGTCCGCCCGCCACCTCCACGCCATTTAACAACGACCCGAGCCGAGCCCGACCTTCCCCTGGACTTCGAATTCGAAAGAGGAAGGAACGAAACGCCCCGCCCAACGGTCGCCTCCCCTCCCCCACAAATCCCCGATTCAAAACCCTCCTCCCACCTCCCATCTCCGACGAACTCGCGATCCATTCCTCCGCCCACCTTCCCCTCTCCCTTTCGCTTTCGCTTTCGCTCGAATCGGGAGAATGGAGGAGGGGAGCAGCGAGTCCGGCCAGGACGGCGGGGCCCTGTCCGCGGCGTCGGTGGGGACGGAGGCGGTGGCGGCGGCGGCGGTTGTCAGGAAGACGGTGAAGATGTCCGAGACCCGCGACTTCATCCCCTGCGCCAGCGAGGGTACGTGCCTGCGTGCGTTCGCGAGCGCGAGCGGATCTAGGTCGCCTGGTTCCGGGGGATTAATTATCTTGTTTTTCTCTCTCTGGCTTCAGGGGATTATTCCAGATCCTCGGGGTCGTCGGCGGCGGCGGCGGCCCAGCCGGACGTCGCCAGCTGTACCGGCTCGTCGGAGGCCGCCCCGCGCGACGACGCGGACGCGGACGCGGAGATCCACCACACGCCCGACTACGCCCGGAGGGCCCCCGCGGCCCGCCTCAGGATCGCGCCGCTCGAACTCTTCTCCGCGGCCCCGTCGCCGCCGGCGGCGCCCCGTCCTCCCGCCAAAGCCGCGGACGCCGAAGACGCCGCCGACGACGGTGCCGCCGCGCCGGAGGCCGGTGCGGGCGGAGGGGCGCAGGAGGGCGCCATGGGCTGCCAGATCGCGCGCACCGACAAGGTAACGGCTTCAAGATTCGCCTCGGAATTCCCCTGCTGTTTTCCTCCTGGGTGGTGTCCAGTGCAAAATTAAATCGCTGCATTTGGTCGCAGGGCAATGGCGACTGCTGTGGCCAGCTGAGGCAGGAGTACGACTCGCTCCTGAGGGAGAAAGGCGAGTGCAGGAGGGTGCTGGAGGATCTCATGAGGGAGAATGATCTCAAGACCAAGGAGTGCCACGAGGCCCAGACGTCCCTGCGCGACCTGCAGATGGAGCTGATGCGCAAGTCCATGCACGTCGGCTCTCTCGGTAACAAGAACTTGTCTCAACTCTCAACTTCAGATGCACTTGTTCAGTGACAGTAGGAGCAGACTGAATTTCACCAGTTCTATCTTCTGCGATTAAAACAAGCAAATCCACGACAGAGTTGCAGCAAACTTATTTTATCAGTTCTTTCTCCTGTGATGATTAAAACAAACCCACATCAGTTGTACCATGGCACTTGCAGCAAACTGACTTTTATCACTTCTATCATCAGTAATCAGACAATGGTGTTGGTCTTGCTAATTGTTACAACTAGAATTTGCATGTTAGTCTTTCCCTTGCTGAGTGGGAACATTTTCTGAAACTTTTGCTATTCATGCAGCATTTGCGGTGGAAGGGCAAGTGAAGGAGAAGACTCGTTGGCGCCAACTACTGAAAGACCTGAGTGAGAAATTTAAGGTATTTATTTGGCCTCAAGTTTTTGCTTCTTTTTACAGTGCACTCTTAAGCTTGACAGAGTGAATGGACTTACACACTTTATTGTGATGGTCCGCAGGCGTTAAAGACAGAGCACCAGATCTTACTGAAAGAATCAGAGGAATACAAAAAGTGTTTGTCAGATGCTACACAGATGACTACAACAATTCATCAATACAGTAAGATTTGCAGAGTGGTTAACCAAACTGAACTAGTTGTGTACTCTTCAGTTTTCTTGTCTGTATCCACTTCCAAGTAAAGGCAACACACATGATTTCCTTTTTTATTTCAACAGTGAGCCAATATGCAAGTTTAGAATCTGAATTTAAGGACCTGAAAGAGAAGTTCAGCGAGGAAGCAAAGGAACACAAGGATCTTTATAACAAGCTTATAGAGCTCAAAGGTAAGCTGTTTATTCTGGTATCAGTTTATACATTGTTACTACAAGAAATGTTGACAATAGGACCTAACGCGACTTGCACACTGCTTAGGTAATATAAGAGTGTTTTGCCGCTGTCGGCCACTAAACACGGAAGAAACAGCAGAAGGAGCTTCAATGGCGATCGACTTTGATTCTGCAAAAGATGGAGAGCTCATTGTTAGAGGCCATGTATCATCGAAGAAAGTCTTTAAATTCGATTCAGTCTTCAACCCTGAAGAAGACCAAGGTAATTCACTCGTAGATGCAGTTACTCACCTTGCATCCTTCCTCATGTTTTTAACAGTTTATCTTCTTCAACTTGTATACAGAGAAAGTGTTTGAGAAAACTGCCCCATTTGCAACTTCGGTGTTGGATGGATTCAATGTTTGTATCTTTGCTTATGGGCAAACCGGCACTGGTAAAACATTTACAATGGAAGGAACTGAAGGTGCTCGAGGGGTTAACTATAGAATTCTGGATGAGCTCTTTCGAGTAGTCAAGGACAGACATGACCTCTTCCAATACGAGATTACTGTTAGTGCCTTGGAAGTATACAACGAACAAATTCATGATTTGCTCCTGACAGGGTCCCAACCAAGCACAACAACAAAAAGGTACATCACTTGTGAGTTATATCATCAGATACAACATTGTGTGAAGATACTGTACATCATGATACTTTGTTCACAGGCTAGAAGTAAGACAAGTTGCAGAGGGAGTTCATCATGTACCAGGACTGGTTGAAGCACGAGTTGCTAACATGGATGAGGCCTGGGACGTCCTGCAAACTGGAAGCAAAGCCAGAGTTGTTGGTTCCACAAATGCTAACGAGCACAGCAGCCGGTCACACTGGTCAGTATCTTGTAGCCCTTAACGTTGTTCACCAGATCTTCATTCACGTGCACTAAGTAGTAGATTGTAATATCCTGACCTCACTAATTTTCCATACAGCATACATTGTGTGATGGTCAAAGGAGAAAACTTGATGAATGGAGAGCGCACAAACAGTAAACTGTGGCTCATTGACCTAGCCGGAAGTGAGCGTGTGGCAAAGACAGATGCTCAAGGCGAACGACTGAAAGAAGCACAGAATATTAACAAGTCCCTATCTGCACTTGGAGATGTCATATCTGCTCTTGCAACTAAGAGCCAGCATATACCCTTCAGGTTTCAAACTTTCAAACCTTGGTTATAATTTGCACTGGTGATTATATATAAGATCTCGCTAACATATCTATTCTCAAACTGGCAGGAATTCAAAGTTAACGCACTTGCTGCAAGACTCACTAAGTATGCAATTTTCTTCTCTTCTCCTTATGCTGGCATGATTTGAACTGTTTTGGTAATAATGTGTGTAAGCACTGCAGGTGGAGACTCCAAAACTTTGATGTTTGTTCAAATTAGCCCCAACGAAAATGACGTGGGCGAAACTCTCTGCTCGCTGAACTTTGCGAGCAGGGTGAGGGGGATAGAGCTTGGACAGGCAAGGAAACAAGTTGATGTTGGAGAGCTGTCAAGATATAAGCTTATGGTACTTACTCTATTGCTTTCCCTGTTAGTTCATGTTTTAGTACGAGTTTAGCATCCATATGTTTAATCTGAATGCATGCTGCTGCCAGGTTGGGAGAGCCAAACAGGACTGCAAGAGCAAAGATGCTCAGATCAAGAGCATGGAAGAAACAATCCAATCCCTTGAAGCCAAGAACAAGGCCAAGGACCTGCTCACTATGAATCTCCAAGATAAGGTACTGTGAGCATTTTTCAGCATCCCAACTTGTAACCACCATGGCTGAAATAGTACAAGTTGCCTTGAAACTGATATACATGAAGAGTTGATGTGTCTCTTTTTTTCTTCAGATCAAAGAGTTGGAATCACAGCTGCTGGTCGAGAGGAAGATAGCGAGGCAGCATGTCGACAACAAGATCGCCCAAGACGTCGAGCGAAAGCAGCAGCAGCAGCAGCAAAGCCACAAGATGGAAGAGAACAGCACATACATGAGAAGCCCCATGTCAGAGAGGAACCTCAACACCACCATGGAGAGACCGCCACTATCAGCAGCACCCAAAAAGGATCCCGGGATGGCGAAACAGCCGTTTTCGGACAGCAACAACAGCGATACCTACAGCTTCAACCAGCTCATGTCCCTTGCCGAGGAGAAGGAGAACGCCAACCCAGACGCCGCCGCGAAGGCCAGGCGTGTCTCGCTCTGCAACGGAGGGGCTCGCCAGCCCCGCCGCAGCTCGCTTATCCCGCTGCCGCGCCGCAACTCGCTGATGCCGCTCCCCGCCGGCGGCGCCAAGACGCCTGCACCGGCATTGGCGGCGGCGTCACCCCTTGACAAGATCAAGGAGTACTCCTCGCCGCCATTGAGCTCGCCGCCTGTTATGTCCAACGACAAGGGCGGCAGCAGGAGCAAGAGGATCAGCAGCATCCTGCGCCGCAGCCTGCAGAAGAAGGTGGTCATCCGGCCGCCGCCGTCGGGGCAGGCCGGGAGGAGGGCCGGCGCCGTTGCCGCCGCCGCGGCCGCACAGGGCATCGACAGCGCTCGCCGGGCGGCGGCGCGGCGCGTGCCGGCGGGCGGCGGTGCGCCGAGGGGCGGCGTGCACCAGAACAGGGACAAGGAGAGAGGCTGGAACCACTGATGATGATGGTGATCTGTAGATTGTCTGGGTAGGAGGAAAAAAAAGGTTAGATGTTGTTTATAGTTTTGAGTCTGAGTTCTCGGCTATTGTGAGAGAACAGCTCTGGGTTTCTTCTTCTTTTATTTGTTGTTATAGAGATTTGGCGAGTGGTGGAGCCCCCGGCTGTCAGATGAAATGTCATCATCTGCCCACGAAACAAATTTGCCGATTCTCATCAGGTTTGCAGGTGATTCCGGCTTGAGTGTGACAAGTCATATGCATCCTCAGTTAAGCATGTGAGTTGTGCTCTTTTGTTGCGTTTCAGCTCATATATTTACATTTTTGTTTGTTGTTCTCCGCTGTTCTTTATGTCAGAGAATTAAAGGGTGAAAGGAAAAGCTGTTATCTTTTTGCGGAAAGGAAATACTCCTTCCTCCAATAATGTAAGACGTTATTACGTTATGGGACGGAGGAATTACTTTTCAAGTCGGTTATTTAGGCAACCCCTCCTATGACAGTCGTTTTCAAGTTGTCAAATCTGGAAGGCCATAGCGGAATGAGATAGCTGGCTTTTGGTGCGGAGAGGAGATGATGATCTTGGAAATAAGATGCATTTACTTGCGTGATGGAAAATGTGCAAGAAAAAGGGAGGGGGCATGAGGTGAGACCTTTATATCTTTCATCACTCACGTCCCAAGATTGATGGAGCTGCCACACCATTTGAATTCAGGCCAATCTCACTCCTCAACCGTATGCTCAAAATCATCACAAAACTTCTGCCAACAGACTACAAAAAATAATTCTGCAATTGGTGCATAGAAACCAATATGGATTTCTTAACAACAAATGCACACAGGATTGTCTAGCATGGACCTATGAATATATCCACCAATGCCATCAGTCCAAGAAAGAAATTGTCCTGCTTGAACTGGATTTTGAGAAGGTTTTTGATATGGTCAGCCATGATACATTTTTTGGTGGCAGATTGCTGCAATGGATCAAATTAATATATAGCATTGTTCACTCTTCAGTGTTACTTAATGGAGTCCCGGACAAACAGTTCCTTTGCAAGAAAGGAGTCACACAAGGGGACCCCTTTTCTCCACTGATCTTTGGCATTGCTGCAGATCTATTACAAACTATGATGAATGAAGCAATGCATAATGACCTTGTGGAATCCCCCATGATGCACAACTCATGCCCAGACTATCCTATAATTCAGTATGCAGATGACACTATTCTGGTGGCTAATGCTGAAGCCACACAACTAAATCGCATCAAGAGTCTGCTACTTCATTTTGCAGCCTACAGTGGCCTGAAAGGAAACTACCCCAAGTCCACCTTAATCCCAATCAACATTGTTGATGATAAAACAACCCAACTCTCCTCTATGTTGGGCTGTAAGGTGGGCTCATTCCCACGAAAGTATGGCCTCCCATTATGCCTGAATAAACCTAGATTGGAGGATTATGCTCCTATGCTCAAAAAGATTGAAAGTAGGATGTTATGTTGTTCCACTCTTCTATCTACTAGAGATAAGCTCACACTGGTTAAATCTGTGTTCTACGGCATACCAATCTTCTTCATGTGTAAACTGATGATCCCAAAGATAGTGGCTAAATAGCTTAACATCTACCTGAAGAACTGTATCTGGAGAAAATTTGGTACCAGGGAGAGAGGTATGGACATGATTGCTTGGGAGAAAGTTTGCATCCCCAAAGAACATGGTGGTTTAGGGGTCCTTGACACCTCTATTCATAATCAGACTCTGCTCATGAAATTCTTACACAAATTCCTCAACAAATATGAAACTCCATGGGTAAAGATCATCTGGGAGACTCGTTATGCCAATAGTCAACCTCGAGAGCGGCTGGTATGATCTTTCTCAGATTATTACCAGCTTACAAGGAGCATGCCTTGTGTAAAGTTGGATTGGGGAACACAACACTGTTCTGGATAGATAAATGGCATGGGCAACCTCTTAACACCTCATACCCTGAGCTGTTTTCTTTCTCCAACAGCAAACACATTACAGTACAACAAGCTTTCAATCTGCAAGACCTGAGCATGATATTTCAGGGACCTCTATCTCTCATTGCTTTCCAGTAGCTTAACTCTCTGCAAGGAAGCATTGCCAATAGAGCCAACACAGGGATCCTTGACCAATGGTGTCATACATGGACCTCCCTGGGATACTTATCTATGAAGATGTATAAACAACTGATTGGGAATAGCTCTGCACATCATCTCTTCAAAGATATCTGGAGCATGTCCTGCAGGCTGAGACACAAAATATTCTTCTAGCTCCCGCTTCATGACAGAGTTAACACTAGGAATATGTTGCAGATGAGGAGCATGCATTTACAGGACTACAGTTGTGCTCTTTGTAGGATAACACTGAGGAAACTGCAGCGCATCTGATTTGGAACTGCTCATTTGCATTACACTGCTGGATCAAATCACTCCTCACCGCCAGAGAGGCATTTCCATATTTGATGAAGTTTCTCTCATATGTTGTCAACTTCCCAAAGAAATTGCACTGGAAATTATCATTGCAGGCGGCTGGGGCATTTGGTCATGTAGTAATGACAAGATTTCCATATCTGCTACTCCTCATATGGTCTGCTGGAAAGATTATCTCAAAGAGGGACTGTGGGTAGCACAGGTCAAGGCAAATCCACAGAAGCAAAAAGAGTAAAGATCTGGACTGAATTACACTTATGATCATTATCATGTATCCTAGAACTGGTATTGGTTAATTTTCTTTGCTTCTTGTAACTTTGTACTTGTATATTTTTTAATGAAATTACCGTAGAACAATTGTTAGTTAGCAAAGCGGTGTTGGTGATTAGTATAGAACCTAGATTTTTTTTATGTGTGCATGTCCTTGGCGCAAGAATATTATCCAGATGGAAAAATTTTGAAGGTTGCAAAATTCCCTTTGCCTACTGTGCGACTCGTAATTGTGGCGCGGGTGTTGTTGTCGGATATCGGGGTCCGGCAAAACCCTTAAGGTTCGAACTCTGGGGTGCGCACGAAGATCTTCTCCCTACCGATCCACACCCACGACCTCGCCGCGATTCTAAGCTAACACGATGAAAAACACAAGGGACACAAGGTTTATACTGGTTCAGGCCACCATTGTGGTGTAATACCCTACTCCAGTGTGTGGTGTGTGGATTGCCTCTTGGGCTGATGATGAACAATACAAGGGGAAGAACTGCCTCGCGAGGAGAGGTGTTCTTGTGCTGGTGTGGGGTGTGGATGAACTGAATGAATCTGTCCCCTTGCTATGGTGGTGGCTAGTCCTATTTATAGAGGCCCTGGTCCTCTTCCCAAATATTGAGCGGGAAGGGATTCCACAACGGCGGGATTTGAAGGAGACAACTAGTACATGCTATCCTAACTAAAGGTGGTCTTCGACTGCCAAAGGCACTGACGATGACGCCGTCTTGGGCTCCACAGTGACCTCCGTCCTGCCGTCCTGCTGGTCTTGATCTTGTTGCACCGATATGGAAACCTTTGCTTGATGCCTCGGTACTCCGCGCCTGCTCCTGCCCCCTTTGCACCAAAGAGGAAATGAGGACACTGTGCAGGCTGGCGCCCGCCTAGTCTTGATCGTCATGGCTTGCGTCATGTGCACCTCGCGAGGTACCCTTGCCTTGATCTCTCCGCCTCCTCGCGAGCCTGCCTGGCGAGGCCGCCCCTGAGGAGGCCTTGCGTCATCCGCGCCGCGAGGCTTGGCCCCTCGCGATGGTTTTGATCTTGGGTTGATGAAGACGGGCCGTACTGGGCCACTGCTGAGCCACACCGCAGGCCGCAGGCAGGCAAGTCTGGGGACCCCCGTTCCCAGAACACCAACAGTAGCTCCCGGGCCCAAGGCGCGCTCGGCCTTGGCTTAGCAGCGAAGCCAAATGGCAAGTGCGGAGCACCGCGGGCCCCAATAGCCTGCGGCCTTGGTGGACACGTGGCGACTGATTGGACATGGGCGTCTCCGCTTCCCCATGCTGCCTCGGCAACTGCCCGATTTGACGAGTCCCTACCGCATGCAAAAAGAGTCATCATTACCTGTGATCGTGGAGGCCAGCGGTTGGCCTTCCTCAGACTATAAGTACGGAGAGGCGTGAGCCCCCATTGTCCATCTCTCCTTGCTCCGCCTGCTTCT